TTACCAGTGTACATCCTCTCGTCTAGCCAGACTTGCAAGGTAGAACTCGGATCTTGATAGTGGGGGCAGGGAGGAAGCATTTAGGAACTCGAGGAAAGTTGTATTTTTCATCATTGCTACATCGCACCGACTGGCTCATCTCCTCCCCGAAACCCCTCTGCAAGGGGATCTTCAGTGGCCTACAAATGGGCTTTGGGTCTGCACTCCGCACTCCCCACATCATTTTAAAAAATCATTTTATTGGGGGCTCATACAGCTCTTACCACAATGCATACATGTATCCCTTGTGTCAAGCACATTTGTACATTTGTTGCCATCATCAGTTTCAAAACATTTTCTTTCTACTTGAGGCCTTGGTGTCAGCTCATTCCACCACCACCCACCTCTTTCCCCCACCCTACCTCCCTCCTGAACCCTTGATAATTTATAAATGATTATTTTTTCATGTCTTACACTGACCGATGTCTCCCTTCACCCACTTTTCTGTTGTCTGTCCCCCTGGAATGGGGGTTATATGTAGATCATTGTGATCAGTTCCCCCTTTCTCCCCCCACCTTCTCCTTCCCCTCCTGATATCGCTACTCTCATCATTGGTCTTGAGGGGTTTATCTGTCCTGGATTCCCTGTGCGTCCAGCTCTCATCTGTACCCATGTACATGCTCTGGTCTGGCCGGATTTGTCAGGTAGAACTGGGGCCATGAGTGGGGTGGGTGGGCAGGAAGCAATAAAGAGCAGAGGACGGTTGTATGTTTCATCGGTGACATACTGCACGCTGACTGGATGCCTCCTTTATAAGTAGTGCTAGACACAGACCTTGCTTTATGAAAACTTTTAAATGGTCATCATGATCAGTGTTGCCACTATTCAACTGTGCAACCATTAGCCAATCTGAAGCCTTTTATTTAAGTTTGCTCAATTAGAATCTGTCACTGGACAGGCAGTCCTCAGTTGATACCAGGGTTACGGAAGGTTCTACACTCTGGTATGAGCCAGTTGCAGTGTAAGTGAGTTACTTCCTTTCCCCCGCTGCAGCCTGCTCGATGGCAGTGTGTTCGAGCCAGTGATAACACTGACTGCGGGGGAGTGAACAGCTGGGAATGAGAACATCAGCAAATTGAAAAAACAAAAAGTGTGATAAGTGTGACACCTCCTAAACTGACTATCTCGTAAATCACACACTCTTATTTATTTTGGATGTAAATTACTAATCTGGGGAAAAACTTTCCTTTTTGGGGTCACTGTTTATATTCAGGGAGCCCCAGCGGTGGCAGTGGGCTGCTAACTGCAAGGTCAGCACTTCAAAACCAGCAGCTACTGGGAGGAGGACGGCCAGGGACGTGGCAATAACCTCCCTGGAGGTCTGCCTGAAGCTGTCCCGCCTGCGGGACTGCTGCCCAACTCCTCTTCCGGGCTCACTGCTCGGCCCCAAGTTCTTCCTTTCTGCCACCTGTGCCTTCGTCTCGTAATCAACCCCTGACACTGACAGGTGAAACTGTTAAAGGCATCTTTAAGGGGAAGAATACAAGTTAGTATTCTCTTTTCCTTTATTAATGAATTAGCATCATTCATTCAGCTAAACTTTTATTGAGCATCCATCTCTTGCAGGTTTCCCGAGAGAAGTCTTACTGCCGTTCGGCCCCTCACAGCACGTGATGGAGACAGTGCTTGTGTTGCCAACCCACGAGGCTGTTCTCGAGGACGCACTCGCGTAAGGCAGCGGAGATGATTTCTCCCAGTGGGTTACCTGGGTGAGGCATTCTGGAAAACGCCATCTTTGATGTCGTCCCACATTAAGTCACACCCTTGTGACGGTACAGGGGCTAGTTTTCCTTTGGCATCGTCTGTTATACAATGGGGTGCCTGGGATACAAGAAGAACAGATCTGTAGTTGACTTCAGAAGTACAGGTGAGAGCTGAAATAAAACCGGACACAGCCGGGTGCCAATGAAAGAATGGCGACGTCCAGGAGTGACAAGTGACTAATTTAATTATGCAAAAGAAATGTTTTAGCATGATTTCTCCATCAATCAGTACTTTAAAAAAGCTGGTTTAAAGTAAGGCGAACCACCTAGTTCTTGTATTTTAGTGAGAAAACATTTAAAATGACATTAAGAAATCCCCACAAATAACCCTATAAAGAGAAACGGAGACATATTTGAGAAAAGTTAAGTCTATTTGAGGAAATCGCATTATTCAGAAATTCAAGCAGCCCTTCTGTGCGAAATGTCAGCACGTCAAATGTGGAGAAGCAGAGGTCGCACTGGCAGTAGGAACTACAATGTTAACAAGCTTCTGGAGTAACAGAGACTTGTAGAGGATCCTCGCCATGTGGATGGGGCACCCACTGAGCCAACCATTCCCAGGTCTCATCGACAAAGGGTTCATTTGCATCCTCTGCCCACAGTTTAGAAAGAGTGCTGTGTTCAAAGACGGGTCCACGGCAGTGAAGGTGACACTCGCAGCGATCTGGAAGGCTCAGGCCATCCTGAGCCACAGCCCAGCACCACTGCTTACACAGATGGAAAAACCAATCCCAGCTTGCTATGTAAAAGAAAGACTCAGGATAAGCAACCCACTGTTACGAACAAGGCGGGAGGTCTCTCCCTTCTCTGTCTACTCAGGCTGCTCCCCAGTCCCAGTAGGGAAAGCCGCACGGTACCGTACAATGAGACAGCCAGACCAACGGACAGGACAGGGCAGGACCCAGAAGTAAATCCACCCAGCTACAGACGATGGCTCTCTAACCAAGGGCTCAAACACACCAAGTGGGAAAGACAGAGCCTCTGCAAAAATGATGCTGGCAAACCTGGAACGCTGTTTGCAGGAGAAAGAAGCAGGGCTCATACCACATTCCATGTATAAAAATCAGCTCAAGATGACTTAAAATACCTAAATGTGAAACTTATACTATCATGATCATTAATAAAAAAGGAAAAACCACTTAAGGCCCTAAAATGTGGCACACACACACAATCAAACATCATGAAAAACATAAAGCAGAAGACCAAATAGATGACTGGGTTATGGGTAAACATTTGGGGCAATGCAATAAAAATGAACTATTTCTGCGTTAGTTTCTTTAGCTATCTAAGGAGCCAACCTCCGAAGTCTCAAGCTGGTAATAAGCACCACTTATCACACACACCAGGCTCGATACTTGACCACACGTTTATTCCCCCCAGCGATCCTACAGCCAAGTGTGGTTTTTCTAGAGGTGGAAACTCAGGTGTGAGAGGGGTGTAAGTTGTCCTTGACCCTCTTCTATTCCCGAGTCTGTGCCTGAAAATTTAACAGACTATTATTATTTTTTTACAAACAATAAACTCAGTATAAGTTTGCTACCATCCAATTAAAAAAAATCATTTTCATGGGGGCTCATACAACTCATCACAATCCATACATACATCTATTGTATCAAGCACATTTGTACATTTGTTGCCATCATCATTCTCAAAACAAGATCAGTTTGCCTCAAAATCAAAGTTAAAGCTAAAATATTTTTAAAAAAATGCTTGCTAAACCTCCAAAACATACTTGTCTAGAAAAAAAGCAAACATAAGAGAGCTATCTACTTTTATAAAATGCACAATTTCCAATAATCAATGAATTCTTAAAGATTCCAGTATAAAAACCCAGCTTTTTCCCAATTTAGCTGGCTCCTTCACTAACTCAAGTGTGAATCTTTTGCAAACAATTAAAGGCACTTCATTAATCTGTCCAGTTAGTCAATTAATCACCCAAGAAAGATGCTAGTAAACAAAAGATTTTCCAGACTGGGCAGGACCCATCTGGCCAGCGAGCAACACCTTCCGTGCTTGTAAATAAGTGCACTTGTAAATAAGCGTGCTTGTAAGTAAGCGCACTGTAGCCCAAACACGTGTTGCCAAGAGATTGTACGCCACAGTCCTCATAATTACACAAAAACATTAGGTCCAAATAGTTACAGGTATTCTATTTTCAGTTGAAGTGTATAATTCAAACGCAACAATACAAAATATCACATTTTTATTACCTGCTTTATGCTTGTTTCTGAATCCGTCAAGTTTTCAGTCTTGGCTTTCTCAAAATCAGAGTTAGAGCTGTAATATTTTAAAAGAAATGGCTATAAACCTTCAAAATACAAATGCTGTGATAACAAGCTTTACTGTCTAGAAAATAATACATGCAAACGAGTATTAAGAGCGAGAATGAGTTTGAGCTATCCTCATAAAATGAGTAATTTCCAATAACATACTCAAGATTTGGCTCATGTAATATGCATGCCTCTTTTTCCTTTGTTGAATACTAGGAAGAATTCAGTGGGGGCAGAATAGCTTTAGGAGATGAGAAACATTAACTTCATGAGCAATCATAATTTTAATTATGATTGGAAAGGATATGATAGGCTCGCTTCCCTCATCTTTTCCCAACTTGGCAAGTTCTAGCCAGCATTCAATTCTCTAATCCTTTGGCTGAATGTCTGAGAACCCATCTGATCTTATTGTTCTTCTTGTCGGTACCCAGAGAAAACACTATTATTTTTTACTTTCTAAAATAACTAAAACCTACTAGCCATCAGTAGTTATTCACACGACACTAAGGGGAAATAATACCTCGAGTCAGCTAACATTTAACACTGTGTAAGCTTTGCTTGCTTCTTCATTCATTTGGCAAAGTTTTCCGGGCATCGGTGATGTGCCAGGCAGGCACTATGGAATGTTAAAGCATCGCACACAATTCCTAGAAATTGTCCCAGTTGTTTAAACAGGTCCTGGGGGGTTGTGGCTACACAAGACTGGGTTGCGTATCTGAGGAAGTAGGAGACAGGCGTGGCTGGATGATGGTTTTCCCTCCCTGTCGACTATCATTTGGCTATTTTTAACGTGGATCAGTTAACATGTTTACACAAATGCTTTCTGATGACATATTTAGAGACTTCGCTGTAAAGAATGCTTACTATTTGAAAGCATTTACAAGGCCTAGTACCAGGTTTGAAACAATAAATAGAAAAAAGGGACTATTCATGTTTACAAGGAGACTAGGTAGCTCACTTGATAGCTCACTTTCCTGTATTTTTTGTCAACATTTATTTTCATGATTCCAATGCTATGGGCGGAATGAAAAGTCGCATTACCCTTGTTCTAATCAGAAGAGCATGTCCAGGCTTTCGATCTAGGAACTGAGGTGCCTGTGAGGCATCAAACCCAACCCGCTCCAAAGAGAGCCAAGAACTGACCCAGAGTGTTTGAGGCTGGAAATCTTTACCAGCGCGGGCCGCCACCTCTTAGCAGCCCACCGCTTACCCCGCCGCGCCACCAGGTCTCCCAGCTGTACAGGAAGCGGCCCGCTTTGATTTCTCTGCTCTCTTGCATACCTGCTGATTTCCGTCTGGGCTTCCCCTTTGGGCGGCTGCGCCTTTTTTCTCCGGGCAGGTGTGTAGTAGCGGTACTGTGACAGGAACGATTTTGCCTCTGTTTTCAAAGTGCGTGGGGTGAATGGCAACTGTTGGTTGGAAAACTGGTCAGAGTGTTTATCCAGCAGATCCGCACTGGGCGTTTTCGAAATCGCTAATCGGAAGGGGCTGGAAAACGTGCTCCTGGACCCTCTGGCGCGTTTGGTCCCCGGGCTGGCCCTCCGGGGCCGTGCTGCCGGGCCGCCCAGGCTGGAGGGCGGGGAGCTCGCCTTCTTCCCAGCGCCCTTCACCTGCGTTTTGCTGGGCTTCGAGGGACGCAGGGGCAGTCTTTCTGAAGAGGACACTGGGGACCTGCCAAAGGGCTGGAATCCGTTCACTTCTTCTATGAACACGAGTGTCTCGTCTTGCGGTTCCCCTGAAGGCTAAGAACATTCAGGTTGAAAGTCAATTGCATTTACAAACTCAGACCCAGTAACCTGGGCTTGGTGTACTTAGATACATCAGTTCTTAGGTTATCTGACTTGTTCACTACCAGGAAAGAAGTTAGCATCAGTTTAAAATTCTGGGTGGTATAAAAACAAAACAAAACTGACAATGTACTGTTTCCAAAGGAGTTTTAAAAAGAGTTTATGTGTGGTGTGATGGCCTTTGTTCAACTCTGACGATCCTGTACTTCAGTTTTTCCATGATAAAATGGGAATAGCTACTCCACCTTCCCCAGAAGGTGACACGAAGATTATGGGTCAGCATATTTTTAAAGACACATTTCATACTTCTATCCCTCCCTGTACAGAATAAGTAGGCTCTCCACATGTGTGCGTAGCAGGGGATGAAGAAGTTCATTCTATTATTCCCTTGTATTCTACGCAGTAGCGAGAGGTTACCTATCATTTAAGTGATTCTCTAAATAAAATGATTGAAAATGAAAATAATTTTTAAAAGATTGACATTATTGTTTTAAAAGGAAAATATGTCAACTGTGACCAGATTTACAAACTCAGTTAAATGAACAAGGAAAGCCATCTTTTAATGGCATTTTTGCTAAATGATGAGGAGTTGCAATGCGATTTTTTTACTTGTGAGGAGACTTGACTTTCAGTTGAATGGCAGGTGGTAGCGCACAGTCCCTGGTGCCACAGGCGAAGTGAGGGTCACAGCCGCTCAGCTCAGGCTGCCTCCCCCAGAGCCGCGCAGTGTAAGGTGCACGGTTCCTGAGATGCGGTCTCATGTCTGTCAGCTGCTGCTATGTCCGCTCAGATGCTAACACTAGAAGTTATTTTCTTTTTCAAAGTAAACTGTGCTTAAACTTCTTTGGAACTGAGGTTAGAATTATTATACTCATAAAACCCATCTAATTACAAAAATAAATATACTTCCCAAAATAATAATTTTAAGACAATTTGAATATGTTACAATATCTATTCTTAAGATTTATTAAATTCTAAGCAAACTGCAAGTCACTGGGACTTCTACATGGAGTCAGTAAAAATGTATGTACAGGTACCAATGAACGACTCTGTGGAGTCAAAGTTATGCGGTTGCAGGGACTAATACAAAAATAAATGAAAACATCCTACTTTAGGGATTTATAGACTTTGTTTCCACACATTCCATTCTTATCTAAATGCTATTACATGACACAAAGAATGCTAGATAATGGAAGCTCATTTTAATTTAGAGTTAAAAAATACAATCACTAAAAATGTATCGAGTGCAGCAAACTTATTCTAAGGAAACTGGCAGCATTCCTGGTGTTTGTACCTTCACGACGGCCCTGGGGACCCCCTGATAGAGTGACAGGGCTGTTGAGAGGTTAACATTGGTGTGTGTGTGTGTGTGTGTGTGTGTGTGTGTGTGTGTGTTGAAAGCATTGTCCTAAGGTGAGCTGTTAAAGTAGGAAGTGTACTTTGGGATTAAAAAAATAACCTAAAGAGCCCCCCAAATTGTCTTCACAAAACTCTAAGCCCCTTGTCTTAATAATTAAGCCTCAAGAAAAGGGAAGACTATCAGTCTAAAGCTTAATGGACAACGGGTTCTGCAGGAGGGACTTTTAGTGCAAAACCTTCTGCATCTTTGGCCCAGAAGAAAAGCTAGCTCTTGGGGTGTCCCTGTGAAAAGCAAGAACAACATTCACAGCACATTCACAGTGATTGTGTTGTACAGGTGGCCCCTTTTGAGGTTTACACTTACTGGCTCAATTTTCAGTTAAGCATCTCAGTAAGAAGTCAAAGTTCATTTCTGCTATAAACTCAGCATTCTTTCCTCAAAAGGCACTGTTCTTTGTGTGGCAGAAACAAGAGGTAGGACCGAGGAAGCCACCAACAAGCACTTAAAGGGGTGCGAGTGGACACCGAGGCAGAGGCTGTCACAGTGGCTCTTGCCGGTGTCATGTGTGCATGGTCGCACTTCATGATTCCACACTTCCATTCACTGGTCACATTACCTCCGCTGGAAATACAAGGTGACTCCAGAGACTGGAGCCAGCAGCGACTCCACAGAGCAGGGAGTGGGACCAGGGCAGGACTTCAGCTTGTTGTTGGAGTTGGCTCCAGGCCCAAGTAAAATTCCCTCCATGTTAAAATACAGTTAGAAATAAGGCGGGTGGCCCACCGGAAAGCCAGACTGTGCCACAAAGGAAAGACCGGCTTCTGAGAGGTCGAAGGAGTGCCCCTACCTTTTTCAGGGTGCTCATTAATGACTTGGGGCTATTGGCAGCACTGGTCTTCCCGGTCGGTTTGGCCAGTCTCTGCTCCTTTTCACACCGCGCTAATTCCCTTTTGAGTTTCTCTCTTCGTTGTTGGTCTGCATCTTGAGGGGGTGGGAGTGAGGGAAGAGAAATTCTTTAATAGCATCTGAAGTATGGGACAAAATAGAAAAACCAATTTTTTTGTATTATAACATTAATAAATGACATATTTTCCTTGCTAAAAAGGTTTCTACTATTGGGTATGTGCAGTTTAGAATCCATAGATCTTTTTTGATAATGGCAAGAAGGGTAGGGGTGGGGTGTAAATGTTTAATGTGCTCAGCTATTCACCAAAAGGTAGGAGCTCAAATCCATGTAGAGGTACCTCAGAGGAAAGGCCTGATGGTCTACCTCCAGAAAACCAGCCTTTGCAAGCCCTACTCTGACACGCACGGAGAGATGACAACTGTCTGTTGGGCGGATAAGCCCTATGCTTTGGGAATCATTCTTTCTCTCACATCCTGTCTATATTTGGTCCTTGAGTAAACACTGTTGACCCTGTCTCCCATGTCTCCAGAGCCCAGCCATTTCACACGCCCCCGCTGCAGACAGCCCGCTCTCCGGATTTTGCATCTAGGTGACTGTGTCCTGCCCGGTCAGACTGCTTCTATCGTTAATCTCCCCTTCAAGGAGAAGAAAAAAACTAGAGCAAATAAAATATGGGTCAAAAGGGAAAACTAATGATACCCTAACTACATAGGATCGCTATGAGTCAGAATTGATTGGATAGCAGTGTTTTCTTTTTTCCTCCCATCTTACAGCTGCATTAATTCACTAAGAGGCACTTTAAGGGGTTAAACTGGCCCGTGTTGTGCCTGTGACTTAGGACCAACTATCTAATGACTCTAACTTCATTCAAAATCAACACCAGGTGGTCTGTCTCCCCTGGCCTCATCCCTGTGCCTCTCACCACCAACCCCTCTCCTGCTCTCTTCCCGGCCTGCCTTGCTGTTCGTTGGACAGACCAGCATGCTGCCACCTCTAGGCTACTGAACTCGCTCTTTTCCTTCACTGGATTGCTCTTTGCCCAGAGACACATGCCTCCCACTCAGGGCTCTCAGCCCTCTGTCCACGGGTTACCTCATTGGGAGACCTTCTCCTCCCATGAGCTCCTAAGCCCCTATTCCTGCTTCTTATTTTTTCATAGCGTGGACCACCCTCTGCCATATTTTACTTTTACTTGTATTTATTATTTGTTTCCTCTAACTAGAATGTACCCTCAAGATGCAGGTAATTTCTTTTATTTACCTTTTCGTGCTCATGCTTGGAATAGTCCCTATCTAATGCCTGCAGGTGCCTAATTAACAGCTGTTGAATTAACTAATAAGTGAACTTCAGTGAAGTAGGTGAAATACAGTATGTCAACTGCCTGATTAGCCATGAATTTGGATTTTAAATCCTAGAGTTTGGCCAGACAAGAAGATTAGTAAATTCAGGATATTTGTTATATAATCTTTTGATGACATCCACTCATGTAAAATATATTTCTATTTGATGTATCAATTATTCAGGACATTAATATAGTAAGTGTGAAAATTTAGCAAAGATTTTCCAGTGAGAGGTAACTACAATTAAAGAGTATTTTATCTAAAGACAATCATGGGAAACCATCTTACTTCAAAAGATTCAAATTTTCAAAAGCCAAAACTATCAGCAGTGTTTCATTTTCTTTAAAGGTTACTAATATGATATGGAAGAATTCAACACAGAAGCACAGGACTTCAAATCTTCAAGATTACTTTTCCCTTTACATTAGAGAAATGTTCAAGGTCATGACCTGCCCATGTAGCTAGTGTGCTGCAGTTTTAAAATTAGATACTCAAAGTTATACACGCGCCTAGTTCACCCTTACCTCGCCTATGAGCTAGTGCAAGTCCAGGGCTCCTTCCAAGGTATGAGAGCTGACACTGGGACTGTTGCACACAGACAGTGTACAAAAGAGGGACAATAGGAAGTGGCAGACACAGGGCCGGACAGACTCTGCCACCAACTGGCTCAGCTTAGTTCTCGCTCTCTTTCTCATGCAGGTGCGCACACGAACAAGGTTGATGGCACTCCATCCAATGCTGCTCACTGTCGTCGCCACTCACCTGCCCCAGAGGAATATTTCCTATTTCTGTCCTCATTCACTACTTACCAGAGACCTCCTTGAGGTTGATATTTTTAAATGTGGACTGCCCTTTTCAGTTAGAAAGTAAAGTAAGTAACTATACTCATTCCTAATTTATTGGAACGATTGGGTCAAACACCGAGTCAATAGGTGAAAATTAGAGGATGTTTGTGCAAATAAAGGATGTTTATATCAGTTCACAAATTGGAGAATGACCACATCATCACACAACTGCCCAGCTACATCATTACATAACTGCCAAACCAATGCGAACCATGGTCCAGTCAAGTTGACACATAACTCTAGCCACCAAGCCTTGCAGCTCAGTGCTCCAAATGTATGTCGCAACATCGTTGGCGAGCGAGATTTTTTTTATTATTGTCATAAATGTGAAATGTCAGATACTGAGATAATTGGTAAGTGATGAGAAGGTGCATTAAATGCAAGTAATAATGTATGAACACATTAAACTTAAAACTTACAATGCTTTGATTTTTTAAAATGACACAAGAATACAGTCATAGGATGTGACATCTGTATTCTTTGGCTGAAGTTAAACGATGTCTTTTTTGACTTGAACTCAAACTACAAATCCCTCAAATAGTTTTGAGTGGTATCCTTCAAGAACAATTCTTTCTTAAGGAAGAATTTCAAATTTTGTCATCTGACTAGTTTCCTTAGTAGACACTCCAAAATATGGGAATATAGTAGTCAAGAGTAGCTATTTTCCACATTTTGGGATTCCACACTATTATAAGTCAATATGACTTTTTGGATATAATCCACTTTGTGGATTTATTTATTTGTATTTACCAGTTGGGCTGTTATGATATAAATAGTGGATGGTATTTATGTGGGAAAAAGTTCCAGTTAAGGATTTTTCAGTGAACTCTTCAGTTACCTTTACTACAAGCCACAGGCAGTGAAAACCAGAATCCAAAGGGTTAAACCTTGGCATGTCTTTAGTGCAACCCATAGAAAAAAATGGGATTTAGAGATAATGAATGGTTTATCAAAAGTCACACAAAGATGTTGTGACAAAGTCTATTCTAGACTCGAAGTTTTTGAATACAGAAGTATAAGACAATATACAAAAGTTAGAAAATGTTTTCTCAAAAGGCAATAGATGAAAATGTTACTTACATTTGATGCTGGTACTCATGCTTAATGGAACTGAGCAGTCTACTGCAGCTGAAAAAGAAAAAAAATAGTGGTTTAATAATAGTCTTAATTTTTATAATTGAAAATAAGCAACAGATGTGGAAATCACAAAGAATTCCAGAGTTGCAGTTCTTTGTTCTGGCTTTTATTGCACTTCTAGAGATGAAAAATACAACATTTGTGATCAAAGTGCACTGGTTGGGATTAATAACTCCTTAAATACAGAAAAAGAAACTTTTAGTGAACTTGAAAACACAACAAAGGAGCTATTTAAAATGAAATCATTAAGCCAAAAAAAATAAACAGAAAGTATCGCTGCTCAGATGGAGCATGCATCATAACATATTGGTCACTGAAGCCATAAACCAATTTTGAGAGTTTGCAGCTTCCTGTAATGCTATCTCATGGCAGAGAGTGTGTAGCTGGCATACAGGCAGATGCACATAACAAGGGAACTGAGAGGCAGGTCCAAGATGACATCACGCCATCCACATGGTCAGCTGATTTTTCAAAGGTGTCAGGGCAATTAAAAAGGAAAATGATAATCGAGTCAACAAATGGCCAAGGGACATGTGGATTCCCACGGGTGAATATATGAACTTTATATCATGCCTTGTGCAAAAGTGAGCTAAAAATGGATCACAAATTTAAATGAAGACCTAAAACTATCAACCCCCAAGAATAAAATACATAAGTCTTTAGTGATAAGGCAAAGATTTCTTTTTTCTTTTCTAAATTTTATCTTAAGAATATGCATAGTTTTTAACACCCACAAAGCTACATTGCATGCTAAGACAGACATGTGACTGACTGACATTAGACTCAAACCGTACCTAACTCTACCAATTAAATTAAAAGTTGACTTAAAGACAAAAAAAAAAAAAGAAAATGCATAGCAAAATGCAAGTTTCCATGGCCTAGACTGAGTGCACACTCGTGTTGTGCAAACCATTAGTAGCCCTCCTGAGTGGCTCCTCTCTCAATGTAAACTCGCTGTCCCCTAAGGTTCCGATCTGACGTTGTGAGTGACTGTTGTGAATCTACTCCCATAAAAGCCAAACCAGTCACCGATTGATTCCAACTCATCGTGATGCTATTGGACAACTTCTGAAACTGTATATCTTTCTGCGCGCAGACGGAGAGGCTTATCTTTCTTCCTTGGTGGAGCTGATGGCCTCGATCCACTGACCTTACAGTGAGCAGCCCAATGCTTATCCCACAGTGCCACCAGGGCTGTTGGGTTTGAACCACCGACCTTTTGTGGAAACAGGTTCAAGGAGTGCATGTGAGTGCATATGACGCACTACTGGTGGGCCCCAAGTGAGTGACAGCAACCCAAATATCTGTGCACCGGGGAACTGAGAAACAAAGTCGTAAGGGGATGGAACTCCTGAGCACTGAAATACTGACACACCGCCACAAGTGCAGATTCACCTCATGCCAAACAGAAGCAGCGAGACAACCTCCCACCCCAAGGACACATAGTGTCTGATCCCATTTATATAAAAGTCCAGAAAAGATGAAACTCCAGCAGAATAAGCAGATCAGAGGTTAGTGAGAAGGGGCCGAGTACAAAGGAGTAGAAGGACCGTTTACGGGTGACAGAAGTCGTGTGTGGCAGGAGCCAGTGAACTGCTTCTGTCTGAACTACAGAGAGCTCTAGTCTTTGCAGGAAGCCTGGTCTTGGTCACAGCAGTGGGCTGGCCTTCGGACGCAGAAGCAGCCAGGGGCAGCGAGGAAGAACGAATGTGGCTGTCCTCTAGCAAATCTTCATCTACAGACAATGCTGTTTGAATGTCAGCGGTTTTTCGCATGTCATGAAATAACTGGCTTCCCCTCACTATTTCCAAATGTAAATAGTTCTTAATTCAGGAGGATTTGGCCTGCAGCTATAGGTGCCTGCTGCCTCACTTTACAGTGTGGTAGTGGTGATGGCGGTACAAATGTAGACATTTGTCAAAACATTTAGCTGGGCACTTAAAATAAATGCATTTTATGGTATTTAAATTATACTACAACAAAGCTGACAAAGGAGAAAAAACTGTTAGCAGATAGCATCTTTACATGCAACAGTGGATTCAGAAACAAAAAAAAAGGTGATTATAAAACTTTTATAAAGAAAATGATGATGGCAACATATATACAAATGTGCTTGACACAATGGATGTATGTATGGATTGTGATAAGAGCAGTATGAGCCCCCAATAAAATGATTTTTTTTAAAAAGAGAAAGAAAATGATGATGGTAACATGTGTCCAAATGTGCTTGATACTACTGATTTATGGATTGTTATCAGAACCGTAAGAACCCCCAATAAAATGATTTATTAAAAACAAACAAAAAAACTCTTTTATATTGAGATCAGTATTTAGCCACAGAATAATAGTAGATAAAATATAATAACAGAAGTATTGCATAAATTCCAACTTCAGTTTAACAAAAACGGAATTCAGAGGCACTTTTTTCTTTATTGTAAAAAGACAGCTAACAACATTTGCCAATTCAGCATTTTCCATGTGTACGATTCATCGGTGACAGCCAAGACGTCAATCGTGTGGTGCAACCACCACCAGTGTCTGTTGCCAAATTGTCCACCCCATTTCCACCAACAGAAACCTAGTGCTTCCAAGACAGTCACCAGCTGTTGGCAAACTACCTCTCATTCATCACGTCCAATACAAATCTTGTTACATAGAATGCATTCATTTTTGCTACAGACTTATTCTAAAGCAGCAAAGCAGGAAGCCAAGACTGGGGACACAAAGCTCACATTTGCACATGTTTACCTTTGGCAGAAAGGATTTTAGTGTAGTGAGCAGCCATGTGACTCTCGACCAGGAGGAAAGTGTTTAGAGAGGAGGAGTCCGTGCAAAAAGCTAAAGAGTAAAACATATTTGATCAGTATATATTCAAAACGTACGTCAAAATTCATCCAGCGAGAAACACGTTGCTGATCTCAGCAGTACAAAACGTTCTGAATTCACTGATGGAGATAGTGACAGAATAATGTGTGACGCGGAAGACATTCTAGCCATGACCTTGCCCTGATAACGTCTGACTAGGGAGCTAGTGACCACTTGGTTCTCACCTTTCCAACAGTGAGTTTTACTGCCTTGAAATTTTTGGAAGAAATTCTAAAACAATCCTTGGTAACTTTTATGAAATGGTTTCTTATTGACAGCACTCATGTTTACTTTCCTGGATTATAAAATAATGTTGCCATTATTATTACTTCAATAATACACTGAGTTTGGGAAAATACACAAATCCAAAGCCCCAATCCTACACAAATATTCTATTCTAAGAGGCAAATCTCTAACTTTAACCCTGAAAATGAGGTCTCTTACAAATCAGTTGATTACATTCTTTCTGAAGTTCAGGGGTCCCCAGGTTACCAATGTCCTTTAATGTTATGTAAATTTGCCCTCACCTAGAATAGATCTAACAAAGCCCCCCTTCCTCAACCCTCCCTTACTTGAAGCAAATGCTTTAGCACAATCTTTATGTGCAACTTAGTGGATTCAGAAACAAAAAAGTTGATTATTAAACTTTTAAACTGAGATCATTATCTATACACAGAATAATAGATAAAATATAATAACAGAAGTATTGCATAAATTCCAAATTCAGTTTAACAAAAACGGAATTCAGAAGCACTTTTTTTTATTGTAAAAATACATGTACTGCACACACCGTGCTTTACATCACTGAAAAGGCTGCAGGCTTTCTTGCAATTCGGACTTGGGGCAGCCCACTAGGATAGAGTAGAACTGCTCCACTGGGCTTTCAAGGCTGTCAATATTTATGGAAGCACACAGTCTCATGGGTTTCTCATAGTGCAGTGGATGGGTTTGAACTGCTTATCTTTGGGTTGGCAGCCTAGCATTTAACCAATGCACTACCAACACTCCTCCTTGTGCTAAAATAAGAGTAAATAGGAATTTATGCACCCATTCCCACTTGCCTACAAACTCTTCAAAGACACACCCAGGGAAAAGATCTTGTCCATAGCTGGGGACAGCAGTTACTAAGACTATCTTAGCACAAGTGTAATCCCATGGAAATTCCAGGACACTGAATTCCCTGAGCTCATCAAAATTATAGTATAGAAATCTTAGCAATAAAGCTTATATATAAGTAGAAAAGATAGAAATGTTAACTATTACTTTTTAAACATTAAAATGTCTTGACACTATATGCACGTGATAAAAAAATTGAAGAGCTAAAAGAGATTGAAAAATTAGTGACCTGCTCACCCTCAACCCTCATTTCCAACCCCACATCTACCCTGCACGCTGTTTATACATCCTTCCAGGAAATTCTATGTACAAGATAAGCATATACGGTAGCAACGAGCTTGATATGAATTTTGTTGCTGTGTGCTGTTGGGTACTCGTTAGAGGAGCTGGCAGGTAGGGTTGAACAGCCAACCTTTCGATACGCTGCGGAGCACTTAACCACTACACCCGCAGGGCTCCTTACCGCTGTCAGTAGTACTACTACCAACATTTATTGAACATTTACCATTCACCTTGGGTGCGTTCTCAGTTCCTTCCATGTGTCAGCGAACTTAGTCATCATCACCATCACTTACAGCAGTGGAAATGGAGGCCATGAGATCTGAGTCAGCTAGGTGTTCAAGGCCCCCTAGCTGATACAGGATGAAGTGTAGATGTGAACAGGGCAGCCTCGTGATCACGACGACACCAGTACTGGCTCTTATGAGGAATGTTAGCAAATTTTACATGTCATTTCACCCTGGTTTTTATGTAAGTTGACTTTTAAAATTTCACTTAGCAACTTCTTCAGAGTGCAATGTAATCTTCTGGATCTATGGCCATACATACTTTAAAAAGACAGGACTAAGTGAAGTCACTGAAGAATACGGTCCCTCCTTCATATTGGGAGGCAGCCAGGATTAGAGATTGTTTATGGAAATAAGAGGGCTGGGCGTGGGGGTGGATTCAAAGACCTCCAATGGTTCTACCTAAAAACCCATCAACTTGTCATCTTAAGCGATAATTTTAAAGGTATATTTTAAATTCACAGCATGAAAAATGGACTTTGAACACCTTATCATGTAAGTCTATCACTCAAATACACTGAGACCTCTCTTCCCCAGATCTTAAATACCCAACTGGGGAGAAACTCAAACACAAACGCACTGCCTTCTAGTGGATTCCAACTCATAACGACCCCCTAGTGAAAGGGCAGAACTGGTCCTCTGGGTATCTCAGGTCTTGTCTTTCTCCCACAGAGTGGCTGGCAGTTTCAAGTCAGCAGCCCAATGCATAATTACGTAGCGAGGCCCTTCAATGTTTGCCCATCAAAAAGGTTTAATCGAGTGCTCTCCTCCACACAGCTCTTCTTTTTCAGGGCTATTGTCTTTAGCGCAAGGAGTGCTGGTGGTGTACTGGTTACGCATTGGGCTACTAACCATAAGGTAAGCAGTTCAAAACACCAGCTGCTGCTTGGGAGAAAGATGGGGTGTTCTACCTTCTGTAGAGTAATGGTCTTGGAAACTCACAGGGCAGTTAGTCCTACCCTGTCCTATAGGGTGGATGTGAGTCAGCAGTGACTCACTGGCAGTGAGTTTGGTTTTTAGCACCTGCTAATTACCATTTTAACCAGGCATGCTTGCCTTCAGTCAGGGTAGGCTGCCTGGAGTCAACAGTCCAGCCAGACTGGAGCTGCAGCACAGAGCAGGAAACAGCCAAGACTACAAGTAACACATGATAGTTTGAAATGACAGATGCCTAAATTTCTTAAAGTTAAGAATTCTGACATTTATAGCTATTCTAACATTACATTTCACAGTAAAAAAAATTCTCAAGTTCATATACTCATTACATGCCATAATTAAAAAAATCATTTTATTGGGGGCTCTTACAACTCTTATAACAATTCATACATCCATTGTGTCAAGCACATTTGTACATATGCTGCCATCATCATTTTCAAAACATTTTCTTTCTACTTGAGCCCTTGGTATCAGCTTTTTTTTTTCCTCCCTCCCTAGCCTTCCCACCCTTATGAACCCATAATAAATGATAAATTATTATTTTCATATCTTACACTGTCTGCTGTCTCCCTTCACCCATGTTTCTGTTGCTCGTCACCCTGGGTGGGAGGGTTATATATCGGTCATTGCAATCAGTTCTCCCTTCCTCCCCCCCTCATGGTATCGCTACTCCCATTATTGTTCCTGAGGGGTTTATCTGTCCTGCATTTTATGTGTTAAGAGCTCTTATCTGTACCAGTGTACATGCTCTAGTTTAGGAAGATTTATAAGGTAGAACTGGGGTCATGATAGTGGGTGGGGAGGAAGCATTAGGAACTCGAGGAAAGTTGTATGTTTCATCGGTGCTATACTACATCCTAGCTGGCTCACCCCTTCCTTGTGACCCTTCTGTGAGAGGATGTCCAATTATCAGATGGGCTCTGGGTCTCCACTCCGCCCTGTGTCCCCCATTGTTCACATCCATATGATGGTTTGTTTTGGGTCTTTCTGATGCCTGATACCTGATCTTGTCAACACCTCATGATCACACAGGCTGCCCCAGACGCTATCTCTTTTGATAGCCGGGCACCATCAGCTTTCTTCACCACATTTGCTTATTGCCTTTGGCAATCATGTTGGGAAGGTGAGCATCATAGAAAGCCAGGTTATTAGAACAAAGTGTTCTTACATTGAGGGAGTACTTGAGTAGAGGCCCAATGTCCCTCTGCTACCTTAACACTTAACATATAAATATATGTACATAGATCTATGTCACTATCATTATATAGAAATATATTTATACATGTATGTACCTGTATTTATATTTCTATAAATGTCCTTTGCTTCCTAGTTCTTTCCTCTGTTTCCTTTTACTTTCCTCTTGTCCCACTATCATGTTCGACCTTCATTTGACTTTCAGTAATTCCTCTTGGCAACATTGCACTTCATCAAACCCCACCAGACATACCATGATTTTTAATCGTGTCATACAACTTGCAGATAAGGAAACACACTTAGTTGGTCTGTTAATAAGTGATCAATAAAACCAGTACTTACTTCACTTACCATTACTTTTGGTGCTCAGGTGTCCCTTAAGGAGGCATGGTGAACCATAGCTGGGAAGGACTGAAAAACAAAACCAACAGAGAATCATTATGGGAAATAAAATACAACTTTCACCAAAACAATATTCACTATTTTACAAAAGAATAAATTCATCACTGGTTTAACTGCCAAGAGTCATTAAAAATTATATTCAATTGCATTACTAACCAATGTTACATCAGATAGCAAAAACTCTGCATCCATAGATAAAAGGTTTTCTCTTGTAGGTACACAGGTTATTTTCAAAACAGTTGTACCTTCAAACTTCCACTTCACCTGGGAAAGGGATAAATGCATCGATTTGTGGTGCTGTCGGGTAAGCTTTGTACCGCTAACTGAAAGGTCAGCAGTTCAAGCCCACCAGCAGCTCCACAGAAGAAAGTTGAGGCGGTTTACTCTTGGAAAGATTTACAGCCTAGGAAACTTTATATAGAATTGCTATGAGACAGAGTTGGCTCAATGTCTTTTGCGTGTGTAACTATTCTGTACAGCACTGACCAATGGGAGTTTTCACTGATTTTGAGAACATGCTGTCAGTCTTTACGATATTGCCGAGACTCTGTCCAATAGAAGGGAGCACTGCCAGTCTCGTGGTCCTCGTGATTGTTCTTACGTTGGAGCCCCGTGTTGCAGCCACTGCGCCAAGCCACCTGTTGAGGGCCTTCCTTTTTCACTGTCTCATCTCTGAGAACGCAGGTATCGACTATTTCCCCCAGTTGCAGGTTAGTCTGCCCCTTTCTAATCATTTAAAGAACGCAATCTTCCCACAAAGTGAATTAAAAAAATCACATCATAGACGATGTTGCTTTGTAAAGAGTAAGTAAACATGAAATTCATGATTGGAATTCAGTGATTAGGAGATGTCTTAAAGTTCATCTGGCCTAAACAATTTACCCCTTTCCTTTGATCTTATCCAGATATTCTACATTTAAAACCACTTCTAGCAATGGAAAACTCACTGGCTTGCATAAAGGCAATCTCTCATCTTTTGTTTTTTTCAATCTCTCATCTTTCAGACTGCTTAGAGCATGCTCCTAAGCTCATACATGATTGGGTCTATCCCAAACAAAACATGTTTAAACATCTCTCTGCAGACAAGTCCTCTCAGTAATACACATGTCTCAGTCTCCTTAGGCTGTCTCCCTCCACCCGCCGAGAGAAAATCTAATCAAAACAGTGGCCTCCAACAACATCTTCTGGGCCACTTAAATTCAAGGCAGAGGGATCAGCTCAGAAAGTTATGGTGACGATTTGTTGGGGGGGGCGAGTTTAAATGGGGAATCCTGACAGTTTCCCAAAGGACACAGGATGATCATGGACATTTATTAGGAAGAAGTTTTAAGAAAACAGAAAACTGCACTGGGGAGAAAAAGTCCAGGAAATCCACACCATGGTTTTTTGTTTGTCCCCCCACCCCCCTCGCCCATCACAACACTGTATCTGCTCATTCCTCGAGGGTGGCAAGGGCTGTCCTATGGAATTTCATGGGGAAACCTCACTCCAGCCACTCTCAAGTCCTGATCTCACCCCTCCGACTGCTCTTTGGTCCCCACACTCAGAACACTGAGAAGAAACGTGATGTGAGTCCCAAACTTGAGGATGCCCAAACGGCCGCCTGACGTGGTGTGAACTGAAGAGTGCAGAATCTTCATGGAAGGGGTAGGGAGATGGAAGACAGCCTTCTGAAGGGAGTGGAAGGTAGGCTGAGAAACCCAGTCTTCAGACCTAGATGGAGGATATGTTGAGAAAGAGTAGTTTTACAGTTTGATATTGTTTTGTTTAATAAAGGGTTTTAAAAAAATAATTTTGTGGCTTGTATACTTCACCACAAAATAATTTTCCCTCTCTAAAAAAGTGATTGTTGTTTTGAAGGGTAACCTCCAAGATAAGAAGGCTGAGTTACAGAGTTAAATGAAATTTGATGTGTAAAATATGAATAGTGAATTATACCCATTCCTCACTTTCCAACATGGTTAGGTTCCAAGGACTGAGCCCTTAGGTAAAAATTGGCATGTGAAAATGGAGCATGATCAAATCGGATCACAAAGTAACATACCTGAAGATCATGGCCAAGGCAAGGTGACACAGAACCTTAACCATCACAGCCAGTGTTAGTCTTGCCTAGCACCTCAGCATTCATTGCTGCCTGAGAGACGTTGTTAATGTGGAACATCATTGGATAGGTTTTTTTTAACACGGCTGCACATGTGAAATGCCAGATGAGATAGTTGGTAAGTGAGGAGTAGGTGTACAGCTAAAACTGTTTCTTAAAAAAAGTGAGCACGTTCTCATTCTTCAAAATGAGAAGACAAAGAGACTTGTGAGGTAAACCATTACAAGCTATGTGAATTATTCCTCAAATCTAGTCACCATCCCCCCAAGTATTGGTGTCTAATTAATAAACTTTAATGTCAACCTCCAATAACCTGAAATAAAAATGAAATGGTTAGTATCTATGGTTAGTAATATGTAAATACTGAGAAAAAAATCCGACATAGCTTGTGGGGGGAGGTCAGATGCCCAGGCATTCCCTCCCCTGAGGGAATCAGTTGCCAGACTGCTGTCTCATCCCTCCACAGGGGTGGGCCTGCTCCCTGCCTCTGGGGACAATGGACAGGCTCCTGTAGGAGGGGTTTGCACCCTACTGATAATGTTCCTATGGAGACCCAGAG